TGATTTCCTCATGAAATTCCCACTACCAATTCACCTGTGCACCATCACCATAATCCCTTGTGTTCTTCCCACTCCTGTCCTGATTCCTCTCCCTCCTCTTCCCGTACAGGATGTCTCTGACCTCTAGTTGTGTAATGATTGTGACTTTGATTTTACTGTAGTTATCTTTTCCCCCAGTTTCTTTTTTGGTTCCTCTACTCCTATAAGTGAGACCATTCAATATTTTTCTTTTTATTTCTGACTTATTTCACTGAGTATAATCCCTTCCTGCACTATCCATGTTATTGCAAGGGGCATAAGTTTATCCTTTTAATTGCTGAGTAATATTCCATTATGCAATTGTAGTACATCTTCTTGAGCCAGTCATGTATTTTAGGGCATTTGCATTGTTTCCACAGTTTACCTATTGTAAATTGTGCTGCAATAAACATAACGGTGCAGATGTCCTTTTGAATTAGTGTTTTTCTGTCCTTTGGATGGATTCCCAGGAGCGGAATTGCTGAATCATATGGAAGCTCTATTTTTAGTAGTTTGAGAAACCTTTTCATAGCTCTCCATAGTGATTGGACTCCTAACCTTATTTTTTATTTATTTATTTTATTTTTAAGACTTTTTTTTTATTTATGCATACAGAACTGGGGTACAGGCCAGAGGTTCAGGGACAGTGAGAGAATTCACCAGAGACAGAGTGGGAGGAGAACAGGCAGATTGACTAAGTTCATTGCTGAGGGGAGCAGTGGGCAAGAAGGGAGAGGTCTGCCGCACGATGTGGATCACCTCCAGGGTGGGGGATCAAACAGTCACTGAAGTGGCTGCAGACAGCTTTGCAGTGCTGCGCTTCAACCCACTGTGCCACAAGGGAAGGGTAACCTTTAAGGAACTTTATTGTGGTAGTCATTTGATAATATGGCAGGTATTAAATCATCACATTGTACATCTTAGACTTAGCCAATGCTGTATGTCAGATATAACTCATTAAAGCTGGGAAAGGGAGGAGATAATTCCATTTGCCATGTGAAATGTGGAGCCTGACAGAGCATTGAAGAAAGGTTAACAGGCATTTGGAAGACTTGCTGTGTCTTTGATTTGGGAGGCTGTGGGAAGAGGAGAGGAGTGGAAGGGAGGGATGATAAGGAGAAATATGATCATACTGAGAAATTTATAAGGCAGAATTGTATGTTTTTGCCCATGCCTACATACTTTCAGGGCTATCATTTTCAGTTTCTAAGTTTTATTTTATAAGGGGCCTCATTCCCTTTTTTAAAATTCATTTTAAATGTCTTTTACAAGCAATGGCAAACCTTTAGAATAAAAGAAGTTTAGCTTCCTTTAAATATTGAATAGTCATGCTACTAAGAGAAGATAAATTTACATTTTATCAGGAAGTAATGATACCCTTTGTCATTTGTGCTTATGAAAATTTCACTAGGATCCTATATAGCCCAGACAATGAAGAAACTAAAGCTTTGTTGTGTAACATTTGTCATTGTGCACATGCTTTGAAATACCCTTCATGCTTAAAATATTCATCACAGAATATTTTTATTATGTGTCTATACAAGAAAATGAAATATACCAGAGTAACAGAATATACTAAGTGTATATGCAAAGTCTAAATAACTAAGAGTACTCCCAAGAATATCTCATTGAAACTTCGCCAACATGCTGCTTTATGTCTTTCCCATTTTTTTATTGACTCCCATTTTTAACTCTGTTGTTTTTTGCCCCTGACATATAGTGAAGTCAGTTATGATCTGACTGATCACTGCAAGCTTGCACTGAGGAGTGGGCTCTGATGTCCTAATTTTCCCAGAAGGTGGTCTTGTGAGGGAGAGTCGCCACTTGTCTCTCTGAGAACTGGTTTCTGATTATTAAAATAACAACATGTAATAGGACGTTCAGATCTCAGTGTGCCAACTTCCATCTGGGCTTATGGACTCAGGTCACTTACAGATTCAAACCATCACATGTAATTACACTGATTTTATCTGGGGAATCCACATTACAGCATTACAAATATACAATTCAGTTGGCAGTCAAAGGATTAAAGGGGGAGGAGAATAATGAAGACCAATAAGCAAGCAGCAGATTAAGTCCAGAGCTTCCCTTGGGTGGTCAACTGTGGATGGTGAGCAAAGCCCTCCTTCTCCAGGCAGAGTGTCCAGGAGCTGTTGCCAAAATCTGGGAAAGGCTTAGGAGAAACACCCTCCTAACATGGAGGCCAAAGCATCTCAGATTGATTTAACTCAGCCCCCGTATTTATACTGCCTTAAGAGTTGTGTTGTCAGAACCACCTGTTATTTTTATTTTGGGCTTGATCTCTGGGCACAGCTGAGCGGCTAAATGGCCTTGCCTCTCAAATGGCTGTTTATCATTGTCCTCTAACACAGTGATGGCTTTAATTGACAATATCAGTCACTTCTGAACTGATAAAAATAAATCACTTCTAAATGAAACCCATTTCCGGATCAATAAGGATTATTACATATCAACACATGTAATAAGGTAATGCTTAAATTCTTTCCAGTTCTGAGATTTAAAGATTATCTTCTGGTTTTCATGTGCTCAACATAAACCTTCTCTTAATTTAATTGACACTTTTGTGCTGATGATTCTTTAATCTGTAGCTTAAGTTCCTGTCTCTCCTCCTCTGAGGTAAATTCTCATACAACAGATGGCCACCTAACCCTCTCTACCTGGACATTGTACTGGTCCCTCAAACAGTGTCCCCCAAGACATAGTCATTTTTCCCAGTAACTTGTGCCTTTTAAAGTATACCTTCCTCGCATGTCCTGAAGCTGGCTCTCTCTTTCTCTCTTCCTCTCTCTGTTTTCTATCCCACTTTTCCTGAAATTACTTGCCCACTTATCTGAATCTAGAAGCCTCAGTTCAAGTCTCTCCTTAAGTAAAATCTTTGCCAACCCATTTCTTCTCTGGAAAGAATTTTTTACTGTCCCATGTTTTCTCAACCAGACCCCGTGAGAGTCTGCTATACCTTATTACTTATATGTTTACATTTTGAACTCCTTGACAACAGGGATTACTTCTTAACTCTTTGTGAGCCTACCCTCAGCATAGAGTATGTCACATGGTATGTTATTGACAAGTACTGAATGAATGCATAAAAATGAAAATTCTCTTTTCTGAGGCTGTTCTTCTTTCTGGCCAAGCATGTATCCTTGTACCAAAAGTCTCTTTAAAATTTGGGATCACGATGGCCCTCCCTGGTGGTGCAGCAGGTTAAAGCACTGCACTGAGAAGCTTAAGCCACTTCCAAATGAGTTCGATCCCTGTCTGCCCCGGAGGAGATCCACATGGTGTGGCAGACCTCTCCTGACTCGTCCGCTGCTCCCCTCAGCAGTGTACTTCGTTGATCTGCCTGTTCTGCTCCCGACTCTGTCCCTGGTGAATCCTCTCATCCTCCGCATCTCTGGCCTGTACCCCAGTTCTGTATGAATAAATGAATCTTAAAAAAAAATTGGGGACATGATTGCCCTTTGTCCAGTCTTACCTGCTCATCAGCTTACGAAAACTCTCATAAAGTTTGGTTTGCACACAGCCTTCTGCTTTGGGAATTCAGTGTCCTTTCCATGTATACTCTATCCAGCAGGGTACACAGACCACATTTTCTCTTTTGCCTATCTTCTCTGAGGTTGAGACTAGAATGATGCGGTCCAGCCAGTTTTTAAAAGATGTTCATTTCTTGAACCCCCATATTTCACTCAGTTCTCTCTTGGTAAAAAAGAAAGTTTCTTCAACACAGTCATTTATGTCAAGCAGTTTCATCATGAACAATTAATGACACACTTTCAGCTCCTAGAAATGTTGATGAAATTTAGTCCTGATTCTTAGCTCTCTTTCAGAAAGTTCACTTGGGTAAATGGACTGTCCAATTTAAATTTTTCTCAATATCACTTTAAAATACACCCTACTTGCTGGTGAGTCTAGAAGAAACTAAACAAAATTTTTATTTAAGCAGGGTCAGAAACCCCTCTGCTGCATGTACAAATAGTAGAATCAACCCCTTTTTTTTTAAACATATTGTTGCTAGAGTAATTATCATGAATGCCACGTACAGTTTGGAGAAGTTGGTCTCATAAGAGAACTTTCTTTGTCTGAATCCATTGCTATCACAAATGCATCAAAGCTTTTATTACCTTTACCTCTTTCACCCAGTGGGTTGTACTTTGTCATTCCCACAGCCAAGTCCAGCCCCAGTCCTTTTTCCTGACATTCCTTGATAGACTCAGGAATAGCCCTTTGTCAGTTCATTTGTCTTTGAAAAGATCCCCGATGCTGTCAATGGGTTCATCAGGCAGGTTGGCACGATGCAGAGGCTAGTTCAAAACAAACAAATGTCAATAATGGTAACAACTATTATTACTCTTTATGAAGCACTTTAGTTCCAGCAGTAACTGTATAATTAATGAATTCATTCCTCAAAACAGTCCTGTAAATTAAGCATCCCATCCAGGCCTTTTAGGGATGAGAAAAAGAAGGATTGGAGAAATTAAATAAATTATTTGAGGCCCGACTGCCATTAGCTAGCCCAGTAAAATGTTAACTCCTATCTTCACATGTTTTAAATTCATGATCCATTTGCACAGCTATACCTTTGGGAGTACTCCCATGTATGCACAGTGCTTCACTCACCCTCCACCAAAACTCCAGTGTCAGTGTCCTATCCCCTTACTTCCTGTCACCCCTCCTCGCTCTCCTCATTCCCTCAAATAATACTTTATTTTTTCCAAGAGTCTAAGAATTCTTCCCCCTGTGCATTCAGTTTTCTGTTTCACTGGTGCCGGTAAGTAAACGTGAATTCATACAGCTGTGTCACGAACAAGAAGGCTTCTTTCACAGAGGTCCTGTTGAGAGTGTTCCCCTAGTCCCATTGTCACTTAGTTGTATAAAAAATTGCAATGACTGAGAGGTTGAAACTCTGCACGTAATGCATTGAACGGAGGTTTAACTGACTCCTGTGAATGTTCTTTGTCTTCTAGGAAGATTTCCAACCTGCAGCCGCCTCAGAGACCAATTGGGAATCAGTCACCAGCTCCATCTCAGTAAGTATTTTAGTTTCCTGAAGCTAACAAAACATAAAGAAACTGATGTTATAGCTGTGGTCAACCTCAGAACAATTTCAGCTGCATTAAGAATCTGTGGATTGACCCAAAGTGAAGTTTATGCATGATCTGTGAATCCATTTCATTACAGTCACAGGGGACTCCTCAAGCAGCCTTCTCCTTCTTTCAGAAGGGTTTCCAGGAAATGCCAGGATTCACTATAGGGGCATGAGACAATGACTTCACTATTTATCAAGTTCAAAGCAGAACATTCCAGCCCTCTCTGGTGGCACAATGAATTAAAGTGCAGCACTGTGATGCTGTCTGCAGACACTGCAGTTTGAGTTCAATTCCCAGCCAGGGAGGTGGTCCACATGGCACAGCAGACTTCTCCTGTCTTGCCCACTGCTCCCCTCAGCTGTGCATTTCAGTCAGTCTGCCTGTTCAGCTCTCCACTCTGTTTCTGATGAATCCTGTCACCCACCACACTTCTGGACTATACTTCAGTTCCTGTATGCATAAATAAATAAATCTTAAATAAAAAATTAAAAAGTATAACATTCCAATGAAAGGTCTGTTCAGACATATTAAACATAGCAATCTGGTCCATGCCCTCAACTCAAGTGGAGAGTTTAGACATAAGTTTGACGATATCAAGGGAAAGCTCTTAACCTTTGCATTTCAAGGTTCTCTCTAGACCTAAAAAAATCTCAGTGTTTACAGTAAGATAACAAGTGCAAACCAGACGTGTTCTATTTGACTTGTAGATAAAGCATAATTTACCGATAAACCATGAAATGGTACATGCCCTCATTTCTTTCCTCCAAATTTAGACATTTCTCAGTATTCTATCTACAGAAAGAGCAGACTCTGTTTTCATCAGTCCTATAGGAAGCACTTTGTAGCAAAATAAAAGATACCAAAAACAGTTGTTCATTAAAAGGTCAAGAGCATGGAGAAAACCCGTCATAGTCCTAAAGTGGGTCAGTGTGGCTGAATCACAGTTGGTTTGTGTTTTGTTTTGTTTTTCCCAAAAAGTGGTATGATCTCCTTTTTTCTCGGGGGGGGGGGGGGGGATTTGGTTTTATTACCCTCCTGTGGCAGTATTTCCTTGGCTATGGATTTTGTGAGATTGAATTAAGTTGGTATGGCTACCTGGACTTAAACATGACCTGATCAAGATATTAGTGGGGTCTCTAAAGGTGAAATGTAAAGTGTCTTGTTTGTTTTGGACAGTCCTTCGTAATACATGATCTGGACCTAGCTAAGGAGAGACCTTCCTTGCCAGGCAGGGCTGGGAGGCTAGACAGGAGGCCTGGGCAGGTGGCAGCCTGGGACCAACGATTCAAGGTGAGTGCCAGCAACAGCTTTTGTGAGTAGGATCTAAGGTACCACACTGTTAGGAGACCCTCACCTTGCCCTCATCTTGTATGCAATCCATGGTGACTTAGGTAGTCAAATCCTTCCTGCTCATAGGGCGGAAGTCATCTGCTTCAAGAACTCACAGCTAATTCAAGATACCCCAGGCCTCTGATGAAAAGGGAATGTCCCACCCATTTGGAGTTTTCACGGAAGCTCAGCTTCTGTATCCACTGGGAATGCCTCTGCACTGAGTGCCAAGTGCAGGCTCTGTTCACTGTCCTCTAGGTTGACCAGGGAGATGCAGTTTCCTTCTCAGCATTCTGTGCTTTAAGAACTTTCTGGTATAGGGGCAAGGGCCCTGGGACCGACCACTACCTTCTGCAAAAGCCACACTTTGTCTTCATTGAAAGAGGTTACAATCTTCAGAGCATTTTTTTTTTCTTTTACAAATTGTTATCTTTTTCTTTTCTTTCTTTTTTTTTTCTTTTAAAGATTTATTTATTTATGCATACAGAGCTGAGGTATAGGTCAGAGGTGCAGGGGCAGTGAGAGGATTCACCAGAGACAGAGTGGGGAGCAGAGTAAGCTGATCTTCGAAGTACACTGCTGAGGGGAGCAGTGGGCGGGTCAGGAGAGGTCTGCCAGCCATGTGGATCACCTCCAGGGCAGGCAGGGATCGAACTCACGCTGAAGTGGCTTTAGCTTCTTAGCGCTGTGCTTTAACCCGCTGCGCCACCAGAGAGGGCCCCACAAATTGTTATCTTTTTAAAGTAAGTTGGCTTTAGGATTGATTTTTATAAACATGTAACAAAAGCTGGAAGATATCAAATCACAAGACTTTTAAAGAAGGAATACCCGCCTGATTCTTTCAATCTAAAATAATATGAATGAAACATATTCTTGTGAGTTTATTAGGTCACCTCATCACTCATAAATATTTCTTACCTTTCTTTGGCGTTTTTTTCGACTTCCCTGAGTCAAAAATCAAAAAGACAGATGAAGTCCATACATAGGGAGAGTTTTACATTTTACCTATGGTTTGAATTTGCTGTTCAAACTAATGTTAGAAAAGATTAGCTTCAAATTGAAAAAAATGGGAACACAAGACCCTGTAGACATTGCTAAGAAAAACTCAGGGAGGTCAAGGCAACCTGCAGCCCTGGCATGTGTGGGAAAAAGAGGGAGATGTTTGAATCTTAAAGCTTTCATTCACTGTCATATTCCTTATTTTGGCCAGCTTGCTTTGATTTTTTGGATTTTAGATGCACACCACTATGGCATAGGCTATTACGAATCTGGTAAATATGAACCTGGCAGAATACATTTTCCAGATAGCACTAGTTGAATGCAAATTTGGAATTTTATTAGTTGAATTGAATCTTAGGTTATCACCTGCAGCATTTGATACCAAGAGGAATGTGAAAGCAGAAATGAAATGTTTCAACCAGGGTTCAGATTATACCAGACACATGATTCACCTGTGCACATATGTAAAGATACACTTGTGCATAAAGACACATGGCACATACAAAGACACATTAGGTGCACACTGCAACAGATACAGAGATATTCAAGTATATGCACACATGCATTGTGGACACCTGTGACTACACACATGTTACATATATGTGGTGTGCTGCATATATGTATATTCATATATTCACATGTGTAGTGCACACACATATACATGTGCATTAAGAAACTTCCTGCAATCTCCTTCCAAACTTCTCCAACTTCTTCTTCCTTTTCTCTAATCTATCTCAGGTTTCCCAATTACTCTCAGGACCCATCTTTCCCATTCCCTTTCCCTCCTGAAAACTACTACTGAATGACACTGATGGAAGATTAATGCTTAGACACCCCTTAGTTTTGCTAAAAAAGGACCATTCCTCTGAGCAGGTGATCGTTGGATCACTTATGGACCTTTGGCCTTCCATTGGTTTAAAAGAGAAAAGAGTACCTGAGAAGCAAGAATGTAAAGGTGGGCACTGTCATCTGTGACTCTGTAACACATGCTACTTTCCAGTATGACACTTCGTTAAGTTTGAGGAATGTAAGTTTTCATTAATTACCATTTTCCATAGTGATAGGAGCTATTTACCCCCAGGGGGTGATCTTATTTGTTTGGCAGTTTCTTTAAAGACATTTAGAAATCATTTGTGTCTGAGCGCTATTTCCTTGTTAATGGGTCATGAATTTTAACAGAGATGTCTGACTCATGGCTCATTTGCCTCTGGATTGTACAAGGGTTAGTGAAGTAAGTGCTTGGAAACTTAAGGGGGAGATGTATTCCATGTGTCATCCTTGCCAGACTTTGGATAACAGTCCCCATTTAAACAATATTCATGGGAATGTGTTAATGGCAGCTGGGATTACTCACAAACTACAGCACTTAAAAAATATGTGCTTCCCATGTGAATCTTCCACTCTTAAGGAGTCAAGAGAGTCAGTTTCATGGCTAATTATGCTTGTTGACAGTAAATAAGCTGGCTCAAATGCCAAGTTCTTTCAAGATGCCTCAAGAGGAGATTCAGATTTTGCTCATTGAGCACCTGCAATTCCTATAAGGAGGGGACATTCTCTCTAAAATGGGAGAATGGAATGGATTACATGAAACTTGCAGGGAAAGCATTCAGAATATAAATTTGCACTGCTATCTATTGATATGGGAGTGGATGATTTGGGACCTTGAGGCAAGAAATTGGATGACTTAATTTTAATATTTCTTTCTAGGCAATATATTTTTCATGATTTCAGTCCAGATGAACTGAAAGATATATGATGTGCCTGGTTTTCGACTTGCCAAAAAAGTAAATGATTCTAACTTACCAATGAATTGCTATTGCTTAGGTATATGGCAAGACTGTGTAGAGTACTTTAGCATGCTATTTATGCAAATACAGTCTTACAATAAGAAGCTGCTTATGTTCCTTCCATAGAGGTGTGTGACTGCTGTATTGCATAGCAATGAGCTCTTTCTAAGTATACTGAGCTGTATGTTCCTCTTAGGGTGTATCCTATCACTACCCATCAGTCACGGATCCCACGCTCACCGCAGAGGCGCTGGACAAAGCAATTGCAGAATTTGACACTGTGGAAGATCTGCTCAAGCACTTCAATCCAGAATCGTGGCAAGAAGACCTGGAGAATCTGTATTTGGATACCCCTCATTATCGAGGCAGATCGTACCATGACAGGAAATCAAAAGGTAAGAACTAGAGACTTGGGAGTATTAGAGGAGTAACTGGTAAGAGTCAGCCTTGCATTTACCTCATTTAAATCAGATGATGACTGCCAGTTAATTATCACAGATAATTCTCATTGTCCCTTCAAGAAAAGTTATGTTCTTTCCTAAACTACGTGAAACTCACACAGCAAAAGAAAGGTTTATTTGTCATAGATCTGTGTGCCATAATCTGGATCTAGAAAAAACATTACAAAATTATCTGGACTAGCAGCTAGCTTCTAGGAAAAGAAGAAGGCATTATTAACCTCACTGTAAACAGCAGTGTGTCCAGTTAGTAATGGATAGACATGAGAGTCATCTGAGGCACCGGTCTCAGTGCTTTCAATGGTTTAATGAGCTTGTCTCAGTGCTTTCAATAGTTTAATGAGCTTCTCTGCTCCTATTGAATTAAGGAGAAGCCCAGGATCATTCCATATATGCAGGAGAGGTAAAGCAATGGTCATAACTCTATTGGAAGATTTCAACTCCATTCATTTGTATCCATGATGTAAAATTTTATTGAGCATCTACTGTGTAGTTGGTGGCCTAGGTTGTGACCATCGGATGTCATTATCCCAAAGGAGTAGCAAAGAACTTTGGGATCATTGACAAGACCCCGGGAGGGGTTGGGGGCTGATACTTCATCCCCAGTTTGAATGTTCAGGAAAATATAATAAGAGGAGAACATTCAGACAGAGAAAATAACATCCATTATGACAGTAATATTGAAAGATTTCTTAAAAGATTTGTTTTTACTTATTTATGCATATAAGAACTGGAGTGTAGGCCAGAGGTGATGGAAAATATGAGGATTCATTAGCGACAGAGTGGGGAGCAGAACAGGTAGATCTACTAAAGGGAACAGCAGATGAGACAGGAGAGGTCTGTCTGTGTCATGTGGGTCAGCTCCCTGGCTGGGATCGAACTTATCCTGCAGTGGCTGCCAATAGCTTCACAGTGCTGACATAACTCCTTGCATCACCAGGGACGCCCAATACCAAAACATTTTAAAGAAGTAAATATCCCAATCACTCACATGGGTAATATGATCTTAAGACAAGAATGTTCATTTAAATGTTTGATTCAAATAGAGGAAAAGACTTGTAATTGCCTCTTAGAGAAAAAGGCTATATACTTTCTAGTCTGTGATGGCCTTGCTTGCTGATAACATTTGTTATCATTAAGAATTTCTCTGCAAATCTTCTAAGGCTGGCTTGAAGGATATATGTGAAGGTATTTATGTAGCATACTGCCAATTTTCTACATTTGTAATGCCAGCGATACTTCTAAGAACCTGAGTCTGGGCCTCTGTAATAGTTAGCACTTGGGAGCTTAGTCTACCAGACGATTTGGACTAAAATGACAAATTGGTTCACTTAAAATCTGGGGCTGCTGGCTTAGGTTATAAATCTTACCTACTTAGAATAACAGCTGGAGGAGGACAAGAGGGCCACTGTGGCTGTGATATCATGGCTCCGAGCCTTGTGCACATCACTGTAACTTTTGAGCTGAATCAGCCCAGGGCCTATATTGAATTCCACTCAAAGAAGAAATCGCTTTTCTGTAAGATGGTACTGTCTTTGAAGCCCTACAAGGTCAATTTGCAGTAAAGTAAAATATTCATTCACTTCCAAAATGTTTTGAATCCCCAGAAGAAATATTAAAAATGGTATTGGACCAGAAATGATACAACCTGCCCTCAAATATCTTCACCACTCTAGCTACTCAAAGGATAGTCCTTCTTGGGACATATATTTTGGGAAATTATTAAAATTAAAATGTCACCTATATTCATTGCTGTTTGTTCAAGGAATTATGCTAGGTTGGCGGCAGAGTATCTGGGTTCATTTCCTAACATGGCCACTTACATGTTTTATGATTCTTCCACAAGGCACTAATTCTTACTGTGCCTCAGGTTACTCTTTGCCAAGGTGTGTGATCACCTTCTGGGAATTATAAGTGGTGTCATCAAAGCCCCTACCACACAAGAAATGTGCTTAACCATTTAGGATTCCTAGCATTTCTCTGAGGTTGTTTTGGGGAAATGAAAGTGACTGGAAAGAATCTGGTTCTTATATAAATATTTGCCTAATTATTGTTCTCTTGAGCTAGTGATAATAGGTGAAGCTAGAATGGAAGGTGGGTTGAGCTGTCACCACGATGAGCATGTCTTATGTTCTTCAATCTGTATGCATTCAATGAAACCAATATATTGAAAAAAAGAGAGAATGATTCATTAGCATATTTAAAAATTTATATTGGGGCCCTCCCTGGTGGTGCAGCAGGTTAAAGCAAGCACTAAGAAGCTAAAGCCACTTCAGCATAAGTTCAGTTCTCACCCCGGAGGTGACCCGAATTATGGTAAGGCAGACCTCTCCTGACACTCGCACTACTTCCGTCAGCAGTGAACTTTGTCAATCTGCCTGTTCTGCTCCCCACGCTGACTCTGGAGAATCCTCTCACTGTCCCTGCACATCTGGCCTGTACCCCAGTTCTGTATGCATGAATAAATAAATCTTTTAAAAAATGCATATTGATTCAAATTATTATTCTCAACTATCTTGATAAAACATGGTTTTACCATTTTTGTTCAGGTAAATGACCAAATGGATTCAGACTTCCTACATACTGATGCTACTCAGAAACTCTGCTTAATAGCTTATTCATGCATTTGACTATGATGTTACATTTACTGTGTTGTTATTTATTTTACGGTTTGCTTCTAAAACAAATCTGTTCATCATAAAAAAAAGAAGAAAAACCAATAAAAGTGACTTGACATTCCCAGTCTCATTTCAGAGTAAAAGCATAGATTTTTTAGACTGCTTGCTTGCAAATGTTAAGTAACAGATATTGTGGAGAAAGGATTCTATTTAAAAGATGACCTTTTCCAATTTTGGTTTTACTAATCTATGCTTTGCCTGTAAAGAACAAAAGATGGTTTTAAATAGTGTCTATGGAAGGTATTTAAAGAATTGACTCTAGAACTGTTGTATAGTTGATGGTATTTCTAACTTTGGTTTCTTTCCTGTTTGCAATTCATATCCTACTCTGCAAACATTTATATGCATGTTTCTTTAATTGCTTAGATTTTCTTGGATGTATGCTTTAAACAACAAAAAAGTCTATTTAAAGGGGTTAGCAGTAGTTTGCAGTTCCAGAAAAAAAGGATTGTGGAGTTTAAACTGTTTTCCTTCTAATAGGAGTTTCTAAAAAGGTATTTTTATATATTCTTTTTAACGAATGTTGTGCACAACACTTAAAACCTCAATCTTGAACAAAACAATACCCAACATATTTTCTGCTGGCTGTAAATTAAGCAAGCATGCCATAATAAATGGTGTGAAGGAGGGGGAGGAAACTACTTAGAACTCTGAAATCTGCATGTGCCTGCCCCTTATCCTCTCCCTGTGATGTCCACAACCCCAGGCACTGTTCAAAGAACTTGGGACACATCTATTTTTATGTGTCCCACTACTGCACTGTCATTGGATCCTGTGTTTCTCTAAGGGGACCTCAGATCCTAGAACTGGAGGATCTCACCTCTAGCTTTATCAACTATGAAGCTTTAAGAAGATCCTACACAGCACCTCCCTGGTGGCATAGGGGTTAAAATCAGCTCTGTTGGCTATGACCACCCATTGCGGCATGAGTTTGATCCCCAGCCAGGGAACTGACCCACATGGCGCAGCAGACTTCTCCTATCTTGCCCTCTGCTCCCCTCAGCAGTGTACTTCAGTAGATCCACCTGTTCTGCTTCCCTCTAGTCTTGTCTCTGGTGAAACCCCCTCCCCATAACACACGCATATATCTCTCACCTATACCCCAGACCTTATATGCATAAACAAATGAAAGTAAATCTTAAAAGAAAAGAAAAGAAAGCATATGCCACAAATACACATCAGCAGCTTTGGCTCAGAATTTCTGAGGTTGAACTGGGAACTGATGTTATTGGAGGTGCCTAGGAGCTGGAGAGCCATCCTCAGAGGCACCCAGAGTTGAGAGCTGTTTTAGATGTTGTCAATCTCATATCTCCAGCTGCTGGCACAGCCTCTGACACATGTTACAGACTTCATTAATGTTTGTGAAGTTGAAGATGTTTTTAATTAAGCATTTCCATATACCTAAAGTTTATAGAAACCCCAAGACTCAGGCGCATTGTTTTATTAAGGATGACTTTGGTTGCTGAAATAACCTTGGAGGAGCATTCAAGGCAGCATTTCACAGGTTTCTGACACAGTAAACATCTCTCTCCCCTGTTGGCTTAGGTTTCATTTCTTAATCTCTTGTTTCAAAGGGCCTCGAGGCAGGTCTGCAGTGTTTCATTTAACACTGGCAAGCTACCACTGTCTGCTCTTGTGTAAATGTACTGATTTCATTGTTTATCCTTCCACTGATGTCAAACCACCTGCATGTATCACAAAACCTAGGAAGTTAACTTCAATATTTCAGCTGTTATTTTCAGCTTTTAGACCTTAAAAATAAAAATACATGGTTTGTTTTCTGATGTATAAGAAAGGGAGCAGTGATTAAAGAGTGAAAACAGCAAAGTACTTATAGGTAAGAGAGGTCCATTAGGAGTCAAATAAAATGTGAACTTTCTGGACTCCCATAAAAAGTTTCCTGCTACCAGTGGAATAATCTCTTACTGATTCTGTGCAAAGCTTCCCATCACTGATGAATATCTATTGAGCATTCATTTTTCTGATTTCTCCAGACTGATCAAAAAGAACATTTTTCATGATAACAAAAAATAAGATTCTAAGGTGATGCTTGAATGTGAATATACAAAACAGATTTTTCTAAAGTCTAAAGTAAAATACAGAATGAAGAACTTTTGTAGTGAAATAGAAACACTTTATATCTGAAAAAGTTTTTTTTTTCATCTTTCTTCATTTTGTGCATTTTCATCTCTGTTGTAATCCCTAACATCTGAAATTTTTATCTTTCCTTTGTTTCTGTTTATTTATTTGAAGGGAGAT